TTGCCAGCCAGGATTTTTTTGTACAAACAGGAGGGGTTGTGCCCCCCATTTTGTATTTGGAATCATTTTGTAGTTGATTCCTTTCAAATCATGCATTTTCATTTTGTAGTTGTATATGTTGAGTTAGTTGAAGCATCCAACATAAAATCTCATTAGCATTTTGTCATCTAACAGAATACCATCTAACAAACTGCACGGGGTCAACACTTGATCCAACTAAATTCAATCATTGACAACTACAAAATGTTCTCCGAATTTATGTTGGTCGGAACTTTGGATGGCAAAGACCCAACTACAAAATGTCATTGGGAAAAATCATGTTAGAAATTCCGACGTTCAGGTATTTTTTTGACTTCAGATGCATTGGATTTTGTAGTACTGGTTTTGAATTATTTTCCGAGCCAGAAAGAGTTATGTTCTTCATCTTGTAGCTGCAAAAAAAGTACATGCACTTGCATTTTGTAGTTGTGCACCCTATGCATTCCGCTCTGTATCTACCAAAACCATCTGCACAACTCCTCCCCCCTTATCTGAACCCTGATAAATATATATATAGGAGCCGATCGCAAATGCCAATCTAAGAATTATGAATCGGCCTTCATATCTTGACATCCGCGATTGTAAAACACTGCACCGCGATTGATCGGCGATTGATATGCGATTGATGCAGTTATCTATTGTGTATATGGGAGAAAATCATTCTTTGTATAACCGCTGTTCATATTTGTAGTATGCTGCAGTCTTGTGTGCTGGGTTTGGCAGGGTCAATTGAGCCAAAAAAAAGTGGGCTGATTTACAGTAGTATTGCGCAATCCTTCGTTCAGAATTCCAGGCACCGCCGCAGCTATTTCGGATGTTTTTGGTAATTTTGGAATGTGCCATTTAGTTGGGGAACGACCATGAATGACATCCAGAACGACATTGGAACAACCTCATATATACGTATATATATATATATATACATACTAGCACTACCACTAAACCACTACCACTACCACTACTGCTGCTGCTGCTACTACTTCTACTGCTACTACAACTACTACTACTACTACTGCTACTACTACTACTACTGCTACTGCTACTGCTACTGCTACTGCTACTACTGCTACAGCTACTACTGCTACAGCTACTACTGCTCCTACTGCTACTACTGCTACTACTGCTGCTACTGCTATTACTGCTACTGCTACTACTACTACTACTACTACTACTACTGCTACTGCTACTGCTACTGCTACTGCTACTTCTACTACTGCTACTACTATTACACGACTACTACTACTACTGCTGCTGCTGCTGCTACTACTGCTAGTACTACTCGTATTGGCTTTATAGTTTTTATAGATGTTCTTTTTTTGCTTCTGAAGGAAAGTGTCCGGAAGAGTCAGAAACAGCTGGGGTCGTTCTAAACCCCCTTGAAGCAAATTTAGTGGAGGCGTTACTTTGGTGATTCTGTCGAGCAAAAACACATGGTTTTTCTCAGGAAGGCGCAAGAAGGCGCAAGGGCGAGCGCAAGGTTGTATAAGTATAGATATGTAAGTGCCTACTTTCTTTTGCTTTTGTTTCTTTTCTTTTCCTTTCTTCTTTCGTTTACTACTATTATTATTACTACTACTACCACTACCACTACCCCTACCACTACCACTACTACTACTGCTGCTACTACTACTACTACTACCACTACCACCACACTACTACTACTACTACTACTACTAGTAGCACCATGCCAGGAATAATGATAGCATAGAACAGGTCTGAAACAGGTCTGAAACAGGTCTGAAACAGGTCTGAAACAGGTCTGAAACACTCAAAACGTTTAAGTTGCGTGCCTTTCCCCTTTTGCAATTTGCTTTCCCACTCGATTCCAGCACTTGCATTGCAATCAGCACTTGCATTGGAATCACATTTTTTTAAATATTACTATAGCTTTTACATGTGCTAGCACTCCATCAACAACCATCTCAGCACTCCATCAAGAGACTGCCATGGCAGCCCGCTTAGCGGAAGCGGCATTTATTTTGGTCAGAGAGCGGCTCCAGAGTGGCGACTGATTTTCGCATATGTGCGTCACGGCAATGCAACATAATGCAACCCGTGATTCTTCTTTTGGGACGGACAGCCTCGTTTGCATTATGCTAGACTGACGCTGCTCTCGTTTCCCTTAGACAGCTAGCAACTTTGTGTGAAGCAACGTGAGGCTGGTCCAGCTAGGATATGGGTCTCATGGAAAGCCACGGTGCGGGGGATCAGTTGTGCCAATCAAGCCTTTGAGGCATGAGCCGTTCTCACCTGAGCTTGGGGAAAAGCTTCAGTGTGGAAAAAAGCTTCACTACGCAGTGTTTTTTTTTATCCGGGCTGTTCGCGTATTGGAAGGGCTTCTTTACGTTTTTTGGGTGACTCTTTCACGCCAACTCACGCACGGTCAACAATTTTCAGAATATTTCAGTAAACAATTATTGGATAGACATTGACATAGACAGATTCTGAAAAGTTGAGTGGATGTGAAAGGCAACATTTTCTACTCTTCAGGGCGATGCCGCGCCCTTATTTTGTCTTCTTTTCCACATCTCGGAAAGCTTTCGCTTGCTTGTGGCTCCCAGCCCGCGCTGTCCACACGATCTGAGAGGATCAACACTATTCAGGAACCAACCTTTCGTAGATAAACTATTAGGCAGTTCCACGTTTGATGTGCTAGTGTTTTCTTTGCATTGAACAGTTAGACTACCCAGAGGGTTGTCTACACAGGGTCTTTGACAAATGTCGACTCTGCATGGGTCGGCGCTGACGTTGAGGCCGACATGGGCCAGGTTGGTGTTGGCCGGTGCCAAGCAGCTGGAGCTTCGGTCTTATTCATGCTGCGCTCGCGGCGCTGTGGCTATCTTGCCGAGCGGTAGCAGCTGTGTTACTGGCGTCGTTCGGCGGCTCGGCTGCACGCAATCAGTTCTAGGGTTGCAGGGTGAGGAAAGGATCAGAACCATCTTCCACGGTGCGCCCTGTGCAAAGCCTGTGCTGTCTTCAGTATGTGACTTTCCCATGCTAGACAGGCTTGTGTGTACTGCTGCTGCCGAACCAAGGATTGAGTCCTGCGACTTCTTCACCTTCGGAGAGCTGCAGCAGAAGAGGCATTTGCACCGCGTCTCCGAGGACGAGAAGAAAAAAACGTTTTCCACAGAATTCAAGCCTTCTCTGTTTACCCACGCCTCATGTCTTCTTATCTTTCATTTAGAACCTGGCCCGACAAACCAGGAGGACTTGCAGAAATGGTTTCCTAAGGGTGCCTACGGATGGTCCTTGCGTAGGGCCTTTGTTATCCAGCCTCCTGTGGAAGTTCCTCGCCGTCATGGATCTGCATCTCGGCTGCGAACGGGAAAGTATTCGGAGTCAATGCAAACAACATCAAACAAGAGATCCCAAGCTGGTCTGAAACAGGTCTGAATCAGGTCTGAAACAGGTCTGAAAAACTCAAGGACCAGCAATTAATTTGAACGCCCCTTCCCGATCTTCCTTCTTTACTTGCTGTTCATTTTATTAGATTTCAGAACACCTTGATTGATGAAATCAGACAGCTGTGGATAACCATTGGTCGTCTGCGAATAGCAGCGCATATTGCCTGGGTATTTTGAAGAATATGCTTGCCCACATGAAGCTGACAAGGTCGATGAGTTGGCTGCTATGAGGCGCTTCATCCACACACATGCTGATTCCCATCGCCTGCAGAGAGACCGTGACTTGACCCGACAGCAAAGACTGGATTTGCACGAACTTGAGGCACAGGTGTGTCACCGCATGTCTTGGGAGCTTCAGGTAGCTGAAAGCTACCGCTGGCACAAGCTCATTGCTCACCGCCAAAAGCAAACTTTTGAAAAACACTTGCAAGAATTGAAGCCTAACCAGATTTTGCATTGGAGCGATTACAAGCAAAACTTGACAATTCCAATGGCACATACAGAGACTGGGGGCTTTTTTTTGGAACCAGCAGAATGGAAATGACATCCTGGGGGTGCATCATTTTCAGGAAGCTTGGCGGAAACCTCCACATAAAGCACGTGATTGTCTTGTCTTCTATCATTGAGCACAGCACGTTGGTTTCAAACCTTCTTTACAAAGAGGCCACAAAACAGATTGAAGACTTTGACAGCATTACGGAAATCATTGCGTGGAGCGACTGTGGTCCACATTACAAATCTTACGATCATTGTGCCGGTTGGACAGGTGATTTTGTCGAAGCTCCTCCCAATCGCACTGTCTTGCTCTGTTTTTTTGAGAAAAGCATGGGAAGGGGCAGGTTGATGGTCTTTTTGGAGAAGTGGAAGGTTGGCTCAGCGATTTCCTCACAAAGAAAGGATTGCCACTGCGGATAGGATGGAAAAAGTTCTCCATTCCTGTGCAAGCCGGGCTGACAACCAGACTTCTCGTGGACAATATGCTTCAGAGTTCCTAAGTCTCTAGGATGGAGGGGCTTCAAAATATTTTTTTTTATGATTTATTTATGATTTGAATACGATTTCCATTTATGATTTTTTTATGGGTTCAAATTGCGGTTATGATGTTTTTATGGTTTGGATATGATTTTTTTATGGTTTTGGATATGATTTTTTTATGATTTTTTTATGGTTTTTTAGTCCTCAGAATCTGGTTTTCAGCTAAAAACTCGAGAAGTTTTCGATTTTTTTATGATTTTGCTAGAGTTTCCTTTTCCCCAAAGCCTTTTCAGCAGAAAAAATGATTTTGGAAGCAAAATCGTAAAAAAATCGTTAAAAAAATCGTAAAAAAATCGTGAATGCATCCAAGGCCCCCAGAATCTAGTTTTCAGCTAAAAACTCGGGAAATTTTCGATTTTTTAATGATTTTGCTAAGAGTTTCTCTAGGAAAATCGTAAAAAAATCGTAAATGCATCCAAGGTCCCCATGGAATCTGGTTTTCAGCTAAAAAAACTCGAGAAATTTTCGATTTTTTTATGATTTTGCTAGAGTTTCCTTTTCCCCAAAGCCTTTTCAGCAGAAAAAATGATTTTGGAAGCAAAATCGTAAAAAAATCGTAAATGCATCCAAGGTCCCCAGAATCTGGTTTTCAGCTAAAAACTCGAGAAATTTTCGATTTTTTTGTGATTTTGCTAGAGTTTCTCTGTAAAAATCAAATTTTCTGGCGGAAAAGACTTCAGGGAAGAGGAAATTCTACGAAAATCGTAAAAAAATCGAAAATTTCTCGAGTTTTTAGCTGAAAACTAGATTCTGGGGACCTTGGAAGCATTTACGATTTTTTTACGATTTTCCTAGAGAAACTCTAGCAAAATCATAAAAAAATCGAAAATTTCTCGAGTTTTTAGCTGAAAACCAGATTCTGGGGACCTTGGATGCATTTACGATTTTTTTGCGATTTTTTTATTTTTTTACGCTTTTGCTTCCAAAATCAAATTTTCTGCTGAAAAGGCTTTGGGGAAAAGGAAACTCTAGCAAAATCATAAAAAAATCGAAAATTTCTCGAGTTTTTAGCTGAAAACCAGATTCTGAGGACTAAAAAACCATAAAAAAATCATAAAAAAATCATAAAAAAATCATATCCAAAACCATAAAAAAATCATATCCAAACCATAAAAACATCATAACCACAATTTGAACCCATAAAAAAATCATAAATGGAAATCGTATTCAAATCATAAATAAATCATAAAAAAAATATTTGCCAAAAATGGCATCCTAAAGGATTTAAGAAGTCTGAACAATATGCAGTAGTCAGGTGGGAACCAGAGCGCAAACCCATTGGCCAATGGGTGTTGCCAAAGCCTGAATTCCAAATTTCAAAGACTTATTGCTTACAGATTCACCCCGGGAACCCTCGATTGCACATTCGCTCCACATGGATGGAAGACCATACTTTTGCTGATACCTATGGCCAAAGGCCATTGAAAAGCTTTCCAAAAGTTGAATGGGAAACAATTGCTGACAGAGAGTGGCGACGAGGATATTTTTCCAATACACGGTGGAACCGCGAGAAGCCGAAAAAAGGCGAGGATGATACCATCATGAAGCGGTTCGATGAGCACAAACGCCGGCGCATGGCAGCACCCAATTTGGAAAATGCTTGGACCCGCACTGCAAGAAAACAAGCCAACAGACTTCTGAGGCGCAGGGAAAAGTGGCAGCACATGAAGAATTTGGCCACAGCTGGAGATGGATCAAGCACCTCGACAAGTTCTTCCAGCACCTCTGACAATGAATCAGAGGATTGATCGCTGTACAGGCTTGTGACTTGTATATATCTCTATGTCTATAGAAATATCTATTTTATTTTCTATACACATGACATTGGAAAGAACAAAATCCCTCCGCGATTGTCACCTTTGGGGTTGCGATTGATTCGCGGTTGATCGGCGATTGTACCTTTCGCAGGCACTTATATTTTGATCAACACCCATATATATATATATATATGCACATCACATGCATAAAGTAACCCCCGAAGGATATAACAGTAAGTTCTCACTATTGTAGTAAGAAAATACTGTTCTATCTTCTATACATGTATAATATATGTATAAAATACCGATAAAAATTTACCATGGACGACCCCGTTGACTAGACGACTCCACGACCCAAACGAGTATAGATACTATAAATCTGCCCAGAATACATGTATAAGAATGGACATATATATATATATATATAATATAATTATATGTTTTATCATGCTTACAATATGTATATTCATGAAACTATCATGGAAATATATATTTATATATGTATATATACACATTAATTTCTTTAATCATAATCTGAATGTAATTATCATGGGCATATCTATAGTCATAGATGCATAGATATAGACATGTCCATAATTAGATATTTCCATGAGATCTGCACTCGTTAAACCAATGCCAGGCCTGGTGGCCCGCCCACACGGCCGCTGGGTTCCTGTGTCCCGGTGGGCGATGCTTCACCTTCGACGCCAGCGCGCAAGGACACGTGAGGCGACGGGGGGCCATGGGCCCAACACGATTTCCTTAGGGGAAGTCCAGTCTGCAAGTGGATTTTAGAGATCTATGGCAATGTTTATTTGGTGAAAAAACCATGGTGTTTTGATATTCCCTTGAACCAAAGCCTTCTGATATTTTTGGTGACGCCAGGAGCCATAGATTCTTCATGGGGATTGTTGAATGGAATAACCTCATATAACTTCCTATTTGGGTCTATCTGAAATTGGAGAGTGGACCCCCGGCCCCCCATTACATGGCCAGCTATAAATGGTGTGGAAAGGCTTCCCTACACGTCCTGGGAACCAATGAGCAAACAGCTGCGGCTAAAGATCAATGGGTACTGGTTTATGAAATTCGAAAAATGATCATGTTTCAGGCTTGTGGTATGGTAGTTCGGCATAGTTTGGTATGATTTTGGTGTAAACGCATGATGATCGCCATGGTTTCTCGATGAGATCCCACTGTTGGTTACTTTTTGTTCAAAGATCCCTTAGGATCCGGGTGTTTGAGTGCTTTTCATACCACCCAGCAACAAAGTGTACATACTGAGGGTGGAAACTCCCCATAGGGACAAACATGAACGTCCACATATATCTTAGGAAAAGCATTGGACCATGGTGGAAAATCAGATCCAAGAGATGTCAGCGCAGGGCGGAAGGCGTGGGCACCATGGTGCTGAAGTGCCAGGAGAAAATGGAAGCTATAGAGGTGGCTGGTGGGTTGGGTTCGATGGCTTGGGCCCGCTGTAAAAAGACTGAGAGAACTGGAGGATCGAAGGCAGCAATGCCGACTCTCGTCAATTCTTGGGGGAGTTCACCAATTTTGGGCTGACTTGGGCACTTCAATGAGCAAATACAAAGATTACAAAAGATTCAACGAACAAAAAATACAGGTTATCAGGTTTAGGGTTGTTTTTTGCCTCCAAAAATGACGGAGATGGCGGTTGAGCCCTGACTCCAGTCGTCCAATCGTTCGAGGTGAAGGATGATCACATGAACGTCGGAACCATTGTGGGTGGTGCCACCCAAAACAGCGGAAAGAGCGCGGGCATGTCCCGGGCTCAGATTTCATCCTTTGTGTTTGGTGCTTGAGAGATCTTGAGACGACTAGTGTGGTAAACCCCAAAATTGACTATTCCCAGTGTTAGAAGAGATATGATGAGATATGCTCAATTTTGAACATGGGGGTTGATTGTTGGGTCCAATCCCATTTTGGCAGTTTCGAAAACCCCGGTTTGTAAATGATTAGAGGGAGTTATACGACATATATGTTGGGGATTGTCATAATTTAGAGCTTTGCTAATCCCCATGAAACCAACACTTGTTTTGGGGAATGTTCTTTTCCGCGTTACCGGGGACTATCTTACCATAAACCCTAATAACCCACATGTTTTTGTGTTTCGTTGAGGGATTCACAGATAGATTTCCAACTGTTGGTTGAATTTGACATATCCCATTGCCATTGTATTTCAATATATTTCAATACATCCCATGATGTTTCCATTTTTCCATTTATCCCAACATTGTAGGTGTTGTTCATTCCAGACCATATTGCCACTGTATTATATACATATATATATACATATCCCAGTCAATATTCCCTATTGGCTGTATTTGATATTTTCTGGGATACTACGTTAAGACCCATTGGAAAATATTGGAGCATCTTGGAAACTTTAGAAACATATTCAGCACACTATTGGAACACATTGGAAAATCTTGGAAGATACCCTCCGTCAATCAAAAATGGTTTGCTGGAAAATCCATCAATTAGTTCGATTAATTTTCCAGCTATACACCTCCATTTAGTTCGGGGATTTCCCATATGTTCCTATGGTTTTCCTACAATGTGGAGCCACCCGGTTAGAAGTTGGTTTATAACCCCCCTTAACTATAGTTGTAAGATGTTGTAAGCATGATGAACCATAGTGATTGGAGTTAAAAGCCAACTTACCCTTTGGTAAACATGCAAAAAGCTATTCTAAATTGCCATAGAAATAGTTGATTTACCCATTAAACAGTGTGATTTTCCATAGTTACCCTCTGGTTATTTCACATAGCCATGGAAGCCATGGAAGCCATGGCCCTAATCGAAATAGATGGTTTACCGTTCTTAAAAATGGTGGATCTTTCCATGGCGAACTGTGAATGTCATAACCAGATGGTATGTAAACGTTTACCAGAGGGTAGTTATCCCAGGTAGTAAATAACCAGGTAGTTATCTAGATACCTACCTCATGGTTTACCAGATGGTATGTTAAATAACCAGGTAGTTATCTAGAGGCCCCATGAGGCCCCCACATCTGGATGTCCCATCGATGTCCTCGGCCAGGAGTGCGCCCAATGGACCTGCAGAGCAGGCAGTGTTGATCGAGGCCGCGGATTTTTTTTTTTGTCGCTTCAATACGGTGGAGGTTTTGCCACAGCGAGTTCAGCGAAAATGCATAATAATCAAACAAAATCACAGGAAAAAAATGGGAGAATGATGGGAAATAATGAGAGAATATGGGACAATCATGTGAAAATAATTGGAGAATATGGGGGAATCATGGTCAAATAATGGGATAATATGGGAAACTCATGGGTTCATATTGGGAGAACAATGGGAAAATCGTCGGAAAATAATGGGGAGAATAATGGAAAACCATGAATGAATGAGTAAATCACCAAAACATCCTGGGACAATCATGGAAAAAAGTGAATTAAAATAGTGGAAATCATATAGTTAAACAAATGAAAAGGCAAATCCCCAAAATGGATATCTAAGCCCAAGCAAGTAAAATAATGGGGAATTAAGCAATTGATTGGTTATAGTTATAATCATAGTGAAAATACAGACCTGAGCAAGTTAGATAATGGGGACTAGTTCATGGGAAAAATGTCGAAAACCAACGACAAGTGGTCGGAGGTCTTAATAGTTTGTTATCAGTCGTTAAACAATGGGATAATATGGGATGATGATGCCAGGTGACTTTCAGATGCTTTATAAATGACCCTCCAAAAGGTGTCCCTTGCGTTGTTTCGTGCAGGATCGTGTTGGAAACTGCGTTCCAACATGGAAAGGCCTTGTGGACATTTTTTGTACACAGTTATTATAGTTTTCAGGATCCAGAGCGATATCCCCATGATAGGGCGTCGCGATATCCGAATTGTGTGGCCCCGACCCCACCAAAAAAAGATGAAGGAAGTCATCTCCAAATAGATCCTGGGATTTGTCCGCATCCCATGCCATCAGTAACACCTATTCCAAAACATCCAAGCATCACAATCAGATCACCATTCCTGTTCCATCATTCTCATCATGAGTATCCCTTCATCCCCGAAATTGCTACCTTAGGAAGATCATGTTGATGATGGCGATGATGGTGATGATGATGATGATGACGACGACGATGATGATCATGATCATGATCATGATGATCATGATGTGTTCTTGTTCTGGTTCTTGTTCTGGTTCTGGCTCTTGGTATTGTTGTTGTACTCGTTATTGTTCTTCTTCTTCTTCTTCTTCTTCTTGTGTTTGTTCTTGCTCTTGCTCTTGTTGTTGTTGTTGGTTATTTGTTGTTGTTTATTGTTTGATGTTTGTTGTTTGATGTTGTTTGTTGTTTGTTGTTGGTTGTTGGTTGTGATTGTGGTTCTGGTTGTTGTTGTTGTTGTTGTTGTTGCTGTTGTTGTTGTGATTCTGATATGAGCTACAGCCAAAATTTAGGTGAATGGAAAGTAGTATTCGAGACATCTTGTTTTTTTTTGGAAATTGAGCTGGTGCTTGGAAAACGATCATTAATACACTCTTCAAAAAGCGATAACATTTGCTTATATACCAAAACCTGAAAAACGATACTACACTCTTCAAAAATTGATGACTTGGAGCTATATACCAAGTATTGACCGTGGCCCATATGGGTATGGGTCCAGAGAAGTCATGTTTAGCACATCCCATTTTAGTGGTGCCTTAAATTTGAGTCCATACCCATACCCATTTAGATATATATATTAATATGCGTATATATATACATACTGTACATAAAGTATTACTACTGAGTATTACTACCATTTAGTACTATTATATACACGGATATATACTACTATTATCATCATTAAAATTATGATTTTTGCATATATATATATATACATATGCTGTATATCCCCTAAACCGTAATATACATATGTAATTGCATATAGAATGACAACCACTTCCCCCAGCGTTGACGTTTTAGGCCTGTCGGAAGTCGGGGATCATGGCCTTGGATGTGGATGTCGTGGAGTGTCATGGCTCCGGCAGATTCATCGCAGATGCCATCGAGGCCGGGGATGGCCTTGGGCGAAAATCCATGGGAAACATCCATGGATGGAGAAGATGGGATACATCCGGGAGAAGCTCCGGGTTTTTACCTGAGCCACGAAAAAAACCTCAATGTATTGTTTATGTAAGGGAGTTATACTACATCACTTTCGCGAAAGAGAAATGATGGGTCGCGAAAGATCGCGAAAGTAATTTGCTTCGCGAAAGGTCGCGAAAGAGAAGTTTAAGATATTTCAAATTGTTTGTTTTGTTCAGTGGGAATGGACCACTGGGAAGTTGACACAGGAGGTATAGTGGAAGCCTTGGGTCTCAGCTGTGGGAGTCGGGTGTCGCAGCTCGGGTTGTAAAGTGCGTTGAAGACTGTAGCCAGAGCTCAATTTAGATTAAGAATCTGCACTTGCCACTTTTGGCAGCCGAATTTCGCGAAAGATCCGCGAAAGAACCGCGAAAGATGCAATGTCCCAAGTCCATCCGTCCACCTGGAAAGCCCCATGTTTCTGGCAGTTTAATTTGACACTCGTGTGTGGTATCGAGCCAAGCAAGCAGCTCCCAAAGTCTAGCTTTGCCGCAGCGAAACAACATCTAGCTCTAGGTTTCAGCGAGCTTTGCTGGCCGCAGACCTGAATCCCCAACATTGCTTTCAGAGCCCTGTCGAAAAGTAGCTGTGGAGCCAAGCAAGCAGCTCCCAAAGTCTAGCTTTGCCGCAACGAAACACCACCTAGCTGAAGGTTTCAGCGGGCCAAGAATCATGTCCACGATTACACGATTTTCCCTTTCACCGCGAAAGGTCCGCGAAAGAGGTTGTTGTAGCAGTGGTTTCGCGAAAGCCGGCATTGTGGCCGCGAAAGTAAAACGAAAGGATTCGCGAAAGACCTTTGTGAGTACAAAGAGTTAGGATAGTGTTTTTTTTCACAGCTCACCTTGGTCTTGGGAGTGGATATTAACCTTGATGGCAAGGGGAAGAATTTTTATGATAAAATTATCCAAGGGACACCTTGGATGTGTACTTTTGGAACTATTTGTTTGCCATGTTTAAATGTGGGATATGTTAACATATTAACCTAACCAATGTATGTAAGATTGGCTACTTGAAATTGAAATGCTTCTTTCGGGTACGGTGGAGCATGGGCGGAGCAAACCGGGGAGCTTCAGGGATGTTCGTTAAACATGTTTTAGAAACCGTTGTTTTAGTATTGAATTTGCGCATTTACATTCAAAATGGTGGGATCCAGGTTACTAATGGAACAGCTAGCAGGACCAAACATTGAGGGATGGGACTGTACATCGCTAAGTTCTTCACTTGTTCATGAGCATGACATTCATCCTTTAAACCGGTTCCACGAGTGTTTCATTCATAGACACATTGACATGAATAGTCCAGTCTCATCCATTGAACAATTCAGCGAGAACCATAATTGGGATGATGATCCCCAGAACTTCCACATTTTGATGGCTCACCAATCAACAAAACAATGATTGAAATGATTGAATCCTTACCAATCATTAATCAAATCATGATTGGTGATTTGGGTGCTTTGAAATTTACGGATTGATAAGCCCAAAAAAAAATACACCACCCAGGCTGCCTCCTGCGGCCGCGCCCTGCGGAGCGGTTCCGAGCCGGAACAAGAGGCTGAGATGTACCGCGGCTCAGATGGGGATGGGTTCAGGTCAGGATTGAAACCACAGATGATGAGGACTGGGAAATTCACGGAAGTGGTGATTTTAGCCACGAGATTGGCACAGTCGGAAGTTCAGCAACAAGACTGGGATGGTTCCGCAGCCGAAAATTCAGGGCATTTCGTTGAGACTGAGTTGGGTTTCCCAGAGTGGCGTGGGGTTTCCCAGCGGCCTGGAATACCCAGGCTTCAGCTCTGCAGTATGAAGACCAACATTGGCAACGCCATTGAAACCAGCGGCATCGCCAGTTTGATCAAGACGCTGCACAGCATCAGGCGGAGTAGAAACGCGGGGGGAGATGGGTCAACACCTTGCACCCCTGGTGATCAAAATAGCTGGGAGTACTGGATGTTCATCCTCCAAAACATGCTATGTATAGGTATTGATCCATAGCCAAATGATCAGAGTTCAAGAAGTCTAATTCTTTCCCATTCATACAAGATCCTCTTGGCATTTGAGTACTTGTGTGGTCAAAAAAATACACGGTGATCCCAGGCTTCAAATTCACTTTCCTGTAGATTTCCCCTCAACCAGCCGCATTGAATGTTGACGGCCCGATGTGTTTTTTGTTGGAGGTTTTCAAATTTTATGTGATTTCAGCCCGATCATGATCCAATGTGACTCTTATATGTTGGGGATTCGTGTTGTTTATTAGCCCCCCTTGAGCCCGCCATTGCCGTGGCATTGCCGTGGTCGCCGTGGTCAGGTGGGGCATTGTGTGTGGCAACAACCACCTGAACCAGCTGAATCCGCATTTGGATCCCGCAAACTGCCCGTCGCAGGGCCCAGGTTTTGGTGGTTGAACTCCTGGCGTTGTCTATGGCTGGGGGCTTTCGCCCATGGGAAGTCACACCCCATGGATCCCCATGAATTCCATCGGAAAGCATCATGGAAAGCCCGGGCCGAACACGTTGGCAGATCCACCTGAGATTCGATTCAATTCACATCAATTCGCCAGTCAGTTGGGGAAGGTTGAAACTCACAACCATGCAATGACCTGCAAAGCCGGTTGATTCACACTCTTGTTTTGGCCGGCATAGCGCATACTCTCTGGCAATATTCCGTTTCCTGTTTTAGCAAGCATTCCGAGAAGCTACACAGCTCAACTGCCAAGTTCTAAGCAACATTTGTTCAGAAAAAAATCAGGCATATCATGTCATATTATGTCATGTATAATCATATATATATATATATATATCCATGTACTATCAAGTACCCACGTATAAGGGATCCATTAGAATCCACCATTGATTATCTATCATTATCTATCATTATCTATCATTAATCAATAGTTGATAATATAAATAGTTAATATCAATAGTGTTCATAAAAATCACCATTTAAGATCTATTCATGGTGTGTAGTGATCTATCTGGGTAAATTATAACGACCTCACTGTTCTCACTCACTGGAAATCATGGTTTATTTTAGGGGAATCATCCCCAAATGGCCGAACTATTCAGGTTAGTGAATTATTATAATTTACCCAGATCTATCATTATCTATCATTAATCAATAGTTGATCATATCAATAGTTAATATAGTGTCAATAAAATCACCATTTATGATCTATTGGTGTGTAGTGATCTATCATTATCTATCATGAATCATCAGAAAAAACGTCACTTTCGGTGCCGGTCTCCACTGGTTTTATGCATCTCCACTAGGCTCTTGCTGTGCACCGAGCCCACGGAGCAGAAGCTCAGTGCCGTCTTCATGGGCGTCTCATCCTGGGGCTTCGGAGGGACCAACGCCTGGGAGCCCCAGAATGGAAGATGCGTGGCGGAAGAGAATTCTTGATAGTTTATATATATATATATGTTATAGTTGTAGTATATCAAGTGTTTTTTATGTACATATATAATTTAATTATACTATATAATCATATATATATATATGTATATATATATATACACATACATACAATTATGATTCCTAGCACGATTTAATTATGCAGGCGACATATTGAAATTGTTCGTATTGTACATATGTTTTAGGTTATTATAACTTTCATAGCTATTTGGCACACACACGTAGATAGGTAGGTAGATGGACCGACAGACAGATAGATAGATAGACAGATAGATACATATATAGATAGACAGATTGATAGACATATTGACAGATTGACAAATAGATTGACAAAAAGATTGATAAATAGATTGTTTGATTGATAGCTAGCTAGATAGATAGATTGATTGATAATGATAGATAGAGAACGATAGATAGATAATAATAGATAATCAGAGATAAGTATGGTGAGAGATACAATATGTATATACATATGTAGTAGATATGGCTCAACATATGGATACTGCAACTATTGAACCCCAAATGGTTGGATGATTGTCAGGTGCACATGCACTGCTATGGTGGAGTGGACGAGGACGCAGCTGGTTGATGCATTAGTTAGGTAATTGATTAAGATAACTAGGCTTACACCCAACTAAGAGTTGGATGTGGAATTCATCCACTATGAAATGTTGTTTTCATTTTGGAATACATATATATATATATATATACATATATAATATATATATATATGTGTGTATGAAATGTCGATTGTTTTTTGAAAAAATAGGGTTTCCCCATAGGTTTTCCACATCGAAATGTTTCCCCTAGGCTTTAGAGGTCCCTTTCCCCACGGCCGTCAGGAGATTCGCTTACCTCCTGAGCCAACGCCACAGGAGCTGAGACCGAGGTGCCCGCCCAAGGGATGGATGTTGGTGATTAATTAATTACAACGATCATTGCCCTGTAAATGAGGAGATCATGGGGATAATGATGAGGATATATATATATATACACCCTCTGGTTATGACTAACAGTTCGCCATGGTATAGATGGCCCATAGAAATAGATGGTTTACCGCTCTTAAAAATGATGATGTTCCTTGGCTATGTTAGAATATCCAGAGGATATATATATATATATATAATGAGGAGATAATGGGAATATAATGGGGATAATGATGTAATATGATGTAATGAAATATATTGGATATTTGGATAATATTATCGAACTGCTCAAATATGGAGATTTACCCTAAGGTAAACAGTCACATAGATGTGGAAAGCCTAGGGGGAAACCCTATGAAAAACAATCTACATTCATGGTGGATGAATTCCACATCGAACTGGAGGGAAAGCATGATTGCCAGTGATGGTTATTGCAATCATGCTGTGATAACCACAATATCACAATAATGCTGAAGTGATATTATGTTATATGTTGGTTGCCAGTGGTTCTTAAACAACACTATTTGTATACGTGTGATATATTACCAACGGATTGTTTGTTGATGATGTTTGATGCCATGATATTATAATTGCCATATAATTATAACAAATTATGATTGCCATTATTTTGATGATGTTGGTGATGGGTGTTGGTGATGATTTTTGCCCCGATGATCTCATGATATGCTCCGTCTCGTGCTGGATGTTTGCATGCCAACCGTTGCAAAGATGGCTAAGACAAGCAGATAGATTTATTTCGATAGTTGCATCAACATTAGCGTCATATATATATATAATTCAATATGAATTACATTGAGATATTTAGAGAACACATGTATAATTTATATATGTTCATATATATATATATATATTATATCATCATACATATATATATATATAGTTTAAGTTTATATCATCTATCAACAAGACAACAATGTCAAGTCCGGATGGAAATCCATCGCTTGAGCCCAGATCGACCCAAAAGCTCGTTGCGAAGGCTGTCATATTGGCCCAGTGGCGGTGGTGACCTGGGAAGCATGAGCCGACCTCGCAGGCGCTGGGGACTGGATAGTTAACTAACAGAACTAGTGACTAGTGGTTTTACCCTCTGGTTATTTAACAGTTTGCCATGGAAAATCACCGTTTTTAATCAACCATCTATTTCTATGGGCAATTTTCCATGGCTATGTTGAATAACCAGAGGGTACCTTTTTTTTTTAACTGCAGAGAATCAAGTTCAAAGGGTTAACTCAGAAACAGATGTTTAACCATCGAAAAAGGTACAAAACTAGTGGGTTGAATTAACAAGAATGGTGGTGAACAAAGTTGTTAGGCTCGGAGTAACTATCCCCAAAATTGGCAATTGGTAAAATGCTTCGCAGTGCTGGTAGGAATGCATCAGACATTTAAGATTTAGCACCGCCTTGGACCGCTCGAACATCTCCATTTTGGGTGGGGAAAATGACTGGTACTCGTACTGACTGGTACTTTGAGATTTGTGAAATCTCATATGGATTCATATGGCATACCAGCGAGCCCTTGCCCTTCATGATTATCCAAGATTGGCCATGGTGGAGTTTGCTGGTTTCAATCACCATCATCCAATTTATCCAATGTCCAGATATCCATAAATCATCCAGAGATTCTTTGATTTGGGGATGGCGAAACATGGCAGGGGATTCTTTATCATTGGTACTTGGACGAGCTGGAACGAGCCTGAAGCAATGGAGGCGCTGGCCTGCGGATGTTTTGCCACGACTGTTTACTAAGGCCTTAAAGGATCAAATTGAAGTGGTTATTTGATGATTTTGATGATATATTAATGTGATTTTGGGTATGAAAAAGTAAAAGTTATGACTTGTAAGTTCAAGATGTTCAAGAAAACTCTGGCATCCTGGCTGTGGATTCTGATTCCAGGTCAGAATAGCTCCAGTCCCCGAACAGTTCAGATCTTTTGCCAGGGCGCACACACAAACTTCGTCAAACTGTCCATATTTTTGTGGATCCACTGGCTTGGATGAGTGATCAGTTTGGAGTGTTCCAGATTGATGTCAACTTTCTCAACTCAATGGCTACAGTGTCTTATTCTGGCAGTGAGTGCGCGTTTTTCTGCATCCAAGCGGCACTGCAGGACGAGGGTGATGGTTGCCGGGAGCCTCAGTGGTAACAGTAGGAGCATGATGCCCTTGACTGACCAATCCATACTGAGATGATTGTGCTGGCAGTAAGGGCACTGCCAAGTCCTGAATAAAACTGTTCGCCATCCGCGATTTGCATCCCTCAAAAAAGGTTCACTGAGAAGTGCTGGCAATAGGCTTCTAATCTTCTACTAACATCGTACTATTTCACTTCGCCTGTCGGTTCCAAACAGATTTGTTTCTGGAGTGGCAGGCTATGGCTACACCCTTGTGTTGGGAGAACAGCGATGGGCCTGTTCCCAAGCATTGAGCCAACACGGAAAGCCAACTCAGCTGGTTGAGAAGCGAGTGGAACCAGCTGTATCCACCCGCCACCTAGGAACAGTTCCAGTTGCTGGTGGACAACAATTATGCCAAGGTGTGATGTGATGTCGCTGTCTTCGACAAGAGATGAATTATGGGCATTTATTCGGCATATGGGTTGACAAAAATAGAGGACAGAGCTTAACCCCCCCAATGAGGCTTAACAATGCCCAACATATAAATGGGGTTGGTACCTCAAAATATGCAACCCCCAAATCTCATGGTTCCCCATATTTTTTTCAGAGTTGGGAGGGTGAATCCAACACACAGTCTCCTATCTCATATTGTTGCTTATATATATATATATGTATATATATATGCATATATATATATATGCATATACATAAATCCGACTATATTCCCTGTAAGCATCCACATAAAACGTTAATATACATATGTAATCCCCATTGTTGATGGTTAATATCCCCGTATCCCAGGATATTCCCATCTGGTTGGTGGTTTGGAACATGAATTTTATTTTTTTCAATTGGGAATGTCATAATCCCAACTGACGAACTTATATTTTTCATAGGAGTAGGTATACCACCAACCAGCCATGATATATCCATATACATATATCTCCCATATATATATATATGATATATTATAACCACCATTATATATATACATATACATTATATATATACATATATACATATACATTATATATATATATGGATATATCCCAATCATATAACCACCATATCATACATATCCCATATTTATCCCATATATATCCCATCTAAATCCCATACACCCCATGGGCCAGGTGCTGCACCCTCGACGCTTCAAGGTGTCTTTTGACGGCTGTTGTCGTTTTCTGTATGGGACGTCCCACAGATAGTTACAGGCCAATGGAAATAATATACCATATTATATGGTGCCTGTAATTTAAAATAATGGTACCATATTTTATATTTTTATGTACCATATACCAGTAATATGAATGGAAATAATGGGTAATTGATGGTAATTGTCTCATTATTTTGCGTCATTGTACCAGATAATCAGATTATGGTGAATTATCTTTTCCATAATGATTGAATATCATTGGATATTCATTCCGGTATTGGACAATGTACAATAATCCATAATAATCCACCATCAAAATACTATACAAAATACTATACCAGTATGTTAACTCAGAAGCCGAAGAAAGCCATGGCCCGAATTGCTGGGCTGTGGTGGCTCCAGGCGCCCAAGGGCACAGAAGTCTATGGCCCGACGAGATATGAGGAAGTGATGCAGGCGCGCATGACATGTGACCCAGGACCTTTTTCAGAGCTTTGGCGAGAAAATATGGAGAAACTGACCAGCAAATACCAACAAGACTACTTAGATGTCTATCTATCTAATCTAATCTAATCAAATCTAAATCTAACTCTAATCTAATCTAATCCTATCCTATCCTATCCTATCCATCGATCTATCTATCTACCTATCTATCTATCTACCTACCTATCTATCTATATCTATCTATCTACCTACCTATGTATCTATATACACACCAGACCCCGTTTTCTTGTGATTGGAGTTATTTGCTACCCCATTCGCTAACATGAACAACAACTATCGTCTCCGGTGTCCTATCCGCCGGGTCTCAGCGCCAGGAAAGCACTTGGTTTGTCGACGGACGACCCTTCAGTGCGCAGATCCGACCCATCGCCGACCAAGGCATTGACAGTCGGAGAAATCCATGGGGTTCTCCGTGGGAAATCCATGGGAAAGCACCAAATTCGATGCTTATGTCCCCGATGATGGCCTTTTTTTGGGGGCTATCCCCCAGAAATAGTGAGTGATGAGGTCAGAGTAGTTGCTTCCAGTCTGCAAAATCCCAACATCGAAGGTATAAGGAATGGGCCCAACCCTTCAGAGGTTGAGAATCCCCAAATTATTTACTGTACTTGCGAGGATTGTTCGCAACAGCTAAGGATATTCCCTACTTTTTGGACCAACGTTTTGGTGTTGTCGATCACCCATGTTGATTCTTTCCTCATGAATTGTTCCCCATAAACTGCGTTGCTCAGTGTTACTCTCTGTTGATTGATTGATCATCTCCATGCAAATCACTTCGCATGTTTGGCTACCTCACGTCAAGGGTCTGCATCTATTGTATTGATATACATTGATATACACTATGATCATCTATGTTCTAGTATGTGCATCCGCAACATCAATCATCGTTTAGTGATAATTTCTTGAAATCCAATTTTGTTTATATATATATATATACTATTTGGTGGTTAGGAGGAAGCGGTTCGGAGCTAGGCGTATCCATATTCCCCAGCTAAGGGTTTCCCAACTATATTCCCACTATCCCCATTATATTCCCAGTGTTTTCCCATCGTATTCCCACTGAAGCGGTTCGGAGCTAGGCGTATCCATCTTCCCCAGCTAAGGGTTTCCCAACTATATTCCCACTATCCCCATTATATTCCCAGTGTTTTCCCATCGTATTCCCACTAAATCCCATTCTATTCCAGTAAATCCCATGAAAAATCTATATAAATCATGATAATCCCAATATATTCCCATTAAATCTTTAGATTATCCCCTTCAATCTACATTTATTCCCATTCTATCCCCATGACATCCAGGCTCTAGCGCCGTGGAGCGGCAATCTTCGCCCATGGAGTATAAGAACGAGGCGCGCCGGCGGACGTTGACGTGGGGATGGGGAGATTCCGGGGACGATATGAATGGTATGACAAAGGATATAAAGGGCAGATAAATATTGGATATTCAATTAAATAAAATATATATCAAATCCAGATTGATAATGATTGATATAGCCATTCTTTCAATACATCAAATCCAAATTTATATCCCCAATGACTATATTAGTGCCATGGTCAAAAGATATGATTCATGGGTACTGATGGGTGTAAAAATCGCTGTGGAAATGGATTGACCATCCCCCAATCTGGGTATATCATCCAACTCTTGGCGGCAAGGCACATAGTTCAGTGGGGTTGAAACTGGATGGCGCCAGGATGAAGGAATGGCTGGTCAGCGGTACCGCATTCGCCGGGGGCCACCAATGGACTGGACTAGCTGCCCAAGACATCCCAACAAAACAGAAATTGTGTGGTTGCTTCTCAAAAGCTGTTCCTCAATTCGGATCCACAAAATCTGCAGGTTTCTGGACGAGAATGACAATTTGAGTAGCTTCCAAAAGCACCCAAGTTGAAGCAATCCCCTCATTAGGAGCCCCCATTTCGAGGTCAAGGATACCTCACAAGATCGCAAGACCTTCCGAACGGACCAAAAGAAAGATTGGGTATTTCTTTCCAACAGTTGTTCATGGTTTCAGCGGATCGTTCGGGACCGCAGATGGATTTTCCGAGGCTTACACATTGCTGGAAAGTGGCGAACTGTCACTTGGGCGAAGCTGGAGGCTGGTGAAACACTGCTGGGGATCAGGACAAAAATTCGTCAGAGGTTCACTTGTCATTTTCGGAAGCACCCATCTTTAGGGGATTTTGAGAGCCCCTGATCTCATCATTTCATTCCGTTTTCCCCGGTGAGCCTCCGATTTTACCATATGTTATGTGTTGTTTAGAAGCAGATGATGTGTCGTATACATGGCAATTCGTGATTCCCTATAAATGGCTTTCTACCCTGTGGTTATTTAACATAGCCATGGAAAATCACCATTTTTAATAGGTGAAGCATCTATAAATGGACCATGTTCCGTGGCTATGTTAGTCATAACCAGAGGGTAAATGGGTTTCTAAATGGGACATCGAACTTCGAACTAAATAGTGGATTCTCCAGCCATTTTCTGGGATTTCCGCTGGGGGATGGGCCATAGCATGGGAAGAAAGAAAACAGCTGGAGGATGGGGCACAAGCGGCGCTGAAGGGCTAAGATGTTGGACACTCAGCGATGACTTCAGGATACTTCAGGTATTCGACTTGGGAATCTATAACCTTTTTGCCATTGAAAATGGTCTAGAATAGCATCTATAATAGCATCTATTTGCTATAATTTGCCATGGCTATGTCGGCTATGTTGACAGAGATCATTTTTTGGAGACATAGGGAGACCCTACCAATCCACCTCTGGGTCAACAGACTGAAGGCTTCATTTCTTGAGTATTGCCATGGGGATCTATGTTTTTTTTTCTAGCTGAAGTCACTTGAGCTAATGGTGATCCAAGCGAAAGATCGGGAAAATCCGAGGTTTCGACATGTTTTGACCCATCTTTTGGCCCAACCTCTGCCTATCTCTGCCTTAGGTTCCACGAGGGACTGCGCATGACTGCGCGCACTTCGTGCCTCTTCGACCAATTCCTTCCGCGAGCAAAAGTGCCATCGCGATGGCTGTGGATGTGGCTGGCAGAACTGCCCAAGAAGGTCCCAACAAAGGGACTCCACTGTGAACAGGTCCAATAGTAAACATAGGAGTTTTGGGCTGTGATTTCTCGGGAAGGGATGATCTGTGATGGCGCAAGACACACTACTTACTACTTCTCAGCACTATCAGAGTGAATGGCAAGATTTCACTTCACAATTGGAATGATGGCAATCTTGGGGAGGTTATATTTCGATTCAAGTTCTCCAATGCCCTCGAAAATTGCTGGTCGCAAAGGTCTTGCTCCGACATTTCAAAGCTGGCTTCCGTATTGGCATGGGGTATGGCGACACCAGCAAAACCCTCAAGAAATTGGTGCTGCCTATGCCTGGATGTTGTTCTGTTAGGGGTTGCTTTTGTAGCACATTCTCAACGAGTAGAGCCAGTCAACAGCTCATTGGTGCTTGGTTTTGTCCAGCTTAATCTGTTGTTCACTAAAAACCTCAGTGGAAATCTGGAAAGGTGAGATGATCTACTCTTCCAAAGGTTAATAATGGATAATATGGTTGATTTTCCATAATATATGGGATAATTATGGTTAATAATGGTTGATAATGGTTAATAATGGTTAATAATGGGAGAATATAACTGGTTGGTGCTTTGGAACATGGCTTTTATTTTTCCATATGCTGGGAAGAATAATCCCATTTGACTCTAATATTTTTCAGAGGGGTAGGTATACCACCAACCAGTATAAATCTCAGCCAAGATGATTAAGACTGGCACTTGTCTCGGATCCGTATGGCTCAGCAAACATGACGCAATCTCAGGATTTGAAAAAGAACTTCACCGCTTGGTTTAGCACCAAACAGCCATCCAACAGATCATAGAGATCCAACAAAGCTGGAAAGCCCAACCAAGGAGATGCGCCAAGCAGTCCAAATGCTAGCAGGAAGAAAGCCCATCAAGCCCTCTATCAGCTTCATTTCTCATCATTAAACATCTCAGGTCTACTTTTCCACACCCTGAGCCAAGACCAAAGCAGATACAGATGAACCCAGCCAGCTCAACCCCCAGATTTTGGGGGACCTAGGGCAGAGGCGCCTTAGCGGCCTCACTTCCTCCCCAGTACGTTGGCATGGACGACCGGGATGACACCTTGGAATGGGCAAGAGAGGTCCCATCCGGGGGGTCAGTTCACCTCCGTTCATCCCAAATTGGCTGTTGTTGGTGGATGTTCACCCCCCAAATCAAGAGGTTTTTGCCGGGGTTTGGCAAAAATCCCCCAAGAGTGATAATAATAATGATAATATGATGATATATTACTATACCCATATACTTCCCCTTGATGATTGAGGATCATGGTTTTGTAGTGCGATCATTTTCTTGGTTTCGGACATGTTGCATTTCCACTGTGAAACTGAAATCCACAGATCCCTTTGAGATTTTGAGCCACTCTCAAAACACAGTCCTTTAACGACGTACAGTAGGGGCATTGTCATCTCAACCCAAAAACGGTTGCGGTTCAAACCTTGAGCAAACCACTCACGCGCCATTTGGCGATGCGCAAGGTCTCGGATAAGATCTGGCATAAGCAAAAACATACATACATACATATATATATATACATATATATATATATAGATATGACATCGGGAGATACTCAATCTTCAAAACCCAGAGTCCTAATATATCCTAATGACTTGTTGTGGGGGTTGTAGATATTACTATTCAAAAGTTCTTCGAACAGCTTCAGCCAGCTGGTCGCTAGGTGTTGCCAGCCAGCCTGGAGGAGGAAATAGGAGGAGGGATGCGGCTGGGTGTGAAGCAATGGATGCAATGGGGTGGTGTGTTTGATATGATGATTAATAATATAGATAAGAATAGACATTAATAGTGATTTCACAATAGATTTCATTGTCATCACTGATAAATAAGAGATAATATTATAATAGATAATCATTGAATAATCATAGATATTAATAGTGATTTAGCAATGATCATAGGAAATAATGATGAATAATGAGTGATGAATCGTGATTTAATGTGGTAAACCCTGCCATAAACTGGGGATGGTTGAAATCCCTGCCATCAAAATGGTGGATTTTACTCTCCGGTAGCCTCCGGTTGTCAAACGTGGCTGGGAAAGAAACCCCAGCCAAGGCCTCCTTTCGATGGCGATGATTTTTCATGGGAAAATCATCGCCATCTTTGCGCGGAGGGTATCTTAATGTATCTTAGATATGACGGGACATGATATAATAAATATATAGATTGGGATATACCATGATTTATACCAATCTTAATCGCCTTTTGTTTTAACCTTAAGTGTATGATATTTTTTCGGCTGAAATGGAGATGGGGCATGGTTAAAACCATTGGATGGACTGGCGGGATCCATAGCAGTTGGGGGCGGGGGGGATGAAATCAATGTGCGGCGCTTCGACAAAGAACAAGCTCCAAACAATTTTATCCTAAGCTCCAAAAAGATATAGAAAAGTAATTCTTGACTATTTTATAGCAGGATTTTACGTTTCTATAATTTCTATACGTTTTTCCTATCTTTTTCGGGTTTACGAAACAGATCTGTACCTCGGTTGGTCACATTTTTCGCCAGGAAAGTTTGGGTTGGAGCCGCCCGGCCGGTGTGGGGCCCTGTCGTGACGGCCCTTGGGACGAGGGGCGTCATCCCGGCCATGGCTGGGAAATTCCACATTTACCATCTGGTGATTTAACATAGCCATGGAAAATCCCCATTATTAATGGGAAAACTCACTATATATGGGAAATATATGGTGATTTAATGGTGATTCTACTATAAAACCATAGGAAAATGGTGGTTTAACCACTCTAGGAAAATGGTGATTTTTCATGGTGATTTTCCATGGTTTAACAATGGGTTAACAATGGTGAATAGTGGGATGATATGGGAATTACCATCTGGTTATGACTCACATAGCCATGGAAAGATCCACCATTTTTAAGTTTGGTAAACCGTATCTATTTCGATTAGGGCCATCGAAATCCCATTATCGAACTGTTAGTCATAACCAGATGGTTTCCATGGCCATGAACAGGGAAAATTTTATCTTTAAATGGTGAGAAAATCATCTGCTGATTTGGATTTGTTCATTGCCATGTTTGATTACCAGAGTAAAAAAACGACAATGGTGCTGTAGAAGAAAGCGATATTCTTAGACTTCTTGCCATAACGAAGTCTCTAGCGAAGAATCAGCAAATGTTGCATGAGAGAGAAGTCAAAGGCTATGAATATCTATGAATTGAGATTGGGATGATTATGATCTGGTTGGTGGTTTGGAACATTTTTTTTCCATAATATATGGGATCATCCTTCCCATTGACTCATATTTTTCAAGATGGTTGAAACCACCAACCAGTGATGATTGGGGTCTCCGGAGAAGGGAACATGTTCTTAGAAAATCCTTCCATTCCATGAAAAAAATGTCACTGTACAGTGGCTGGAGGCCCGGGTCTGCGCCGCCCATTATCCACTCCGAGCTGGATGGTGCTTGGACCCAGTGGGGCCGGGGTCATGGCCCCCACAAAAATGGGGTGTTTTTCCAAGCAAAAAAACTGTGCAAATCGAGTCTGTGATTGGCTGAGTGGCATTTGGCGCATTTGGATGCGTTTGGGCCCTTATGGATCCTTATGGATTATTGTTGCATTGCTGCATGGTTGATCAAAAAAGATGGATTAACTGACCCCTTGCGGCTAGGTCAAATGATGAATGGTATACAAGACCGGCCCCCTCTATTGACCAAAAAAGAAACGGTGCATTTTGCCAGCAAAAAGTCTAGTCTTCACTGTGCTCACTGTGATTGACAGCACCTCAAAGTCTGCGGATCCTGGAAAAGAATACATGGTTTACGACATTGCGATTTAGCTGACGAAAATGACAACATGACATGATACACCCGAACATGGGATGATTTAGTCCTAGAGAATGACTTGGCAAAAAATTGCAGAAAATGGAAATTGTGAACCAAAAGATGAGCAGCGAGTTGGGGATGACTGAGAGAATCTCAGAGATATTCTGACATGTCGCATTTTGATCCATTTTGGGCATCGAATTTGGCTTCGGTTGCGAATGTCGCGAGATGTCCCCGGGCTAACTGCAGCGCATCACATTCTTCAGCTAGTTGTGTATGGTTCCGAGCAAACAGAAATGTCTCCAATCACTGAAAACTACAATGCGCTCCAACATAACTCCAAGATGTCATTATTTGTATGATGCATGATGATGTATATTCAAGTGACATATATGGCTATGGATCAATACCTATACATACCATTTTTAGGGGGATGAACATCCATTTACCAGCTATTTTGATGTTCACCAGGGGGATAGGGTTTTGACCCATCCCCATATGATCTATATGGATTTATGATGGCCACCTGACAAGCCTCGCGGTCAGAAAGCCCTAAGGATTTTCCTTCACGCCGGCTTTTGAGGCTGGACCGGCCAGGGATTCCCAGAGCCCATCTTGGGAGCGTTGCCATTTTTCCTGGCACTGGTTGAAAAAAAATCTTGTTCCATTTCCCAAGCACAATTTGGGATATAGGATGATATAGGATGATGGATGATTAGTTGATTGATCAGTATTGATGAAAATTGATCAGGAATGGGGTTTATAATGTTTTATAGTTGATGGATGTTGATGGATGTTGATGGATGTTGATGGATGTTGATGGATGTTGATGGATTGATATGAGATGAGTAGTTGATTGTTGTTGATTGTTTGACTTGAAAATTGATCAGTGTTCTTGGACAACTGTCATCTCCAATGGCAAAAACCAAAATCGCGGCTCTGCTTCAAGGTGAAGTCGACCCGACCTAGGGGGTGTTTCGAGTCGAAACGATGTGTTCATATCGGTATACCCTCTGGTCAACGAACAGTTTGCTATGGAACATGGCCCATTAATAGTTGATTTAACTACTAAAATAGTGATTTTCCATAGCTATCAAGATGCTGATTTTCCATATATGAT